GCCGCGCTCGCTCGGCCCCTCGGGAAACCGCGGCCTCCGGGGCCCCGCCGCCGAGGAAGGACCTCTGGCCCGCGGCCGAGGCAGGGGGTGGGGTGGGGACGCGGAGCGGAGATAGAGCGACTGGAATCCTGACCCGGCAGGACCTTAGACCCGAGATCGATGCGAGGCCGCCGGGGCTGCCAGGGAGCCGGCGCGAGCGGCCCCCTCCCGCCGCGCCGCCACAGAGGTCGGCGTTGTTTCCTGCCCCTCCTAGCGGGAACAATTTGAGGAACCAACTTAATCGCTGGGCTTGGAGGGCGAGACGCTTCCAGGGGCTCGCGGTGACGCTGTGAGACCTGTGGAGCCTCGGCGACGACGCCTGGACGGGAGATGGGAGGCGGGAGAGATTTAGGGCCCCTGGTCGAGATGAACCAGAGTGACCGTCCCGTCACCCTTGGAAGGAAATGTTTGGGGGAAAAGTCTGAAAAGTGAGAGTTGAGCCGAGCGAAGTTAAGGTGTTTATCCGGGGGTGGGGGGGGGGGAGCGGTCTCCCGGATCAGGTTGAACTGAGCTCACGCTGGGGCGCTCCGGCGGCTGAACGAACTGACGGTGCGCGAGCGGCTCCGCCTCGGGTTTCAGTGGTATCTTCTGTGAACTGCAGGCTTTGATACATGGACCTCTCACCAAAAAGAATCTTCTGGATGGGCCCTCCTTCAGTTTTGTGAGAGGATGGGGGAGACATATCACACTGTATTTTATTCGGAAACCACCGAAAGGAAAAAATAATGCATGGTTACAGATAGAGAGTAGCTTTGGTATCAAGCTAAGGCATTCCCGCTGTTCTGCTCCAAGACTGGTTTTGAAAATGATCAGACGGAATATGTTGTCCCCAATGTCTTATTAACTGAGCTGAGAAGAAAGCAAAAGCCACAATCTAAAGAGCAAACAAAAGCGAGGAATTAGCTTCAGCGTAGGGCCTACTCAGAAAACTGATCTCAGAAGTCAAGGCTTCCAGCACATTCTAAAGGTGATTTTTTGGAAAAATTCCACCCATGAGCATCTGCTAAGCACCTTGGGTTGGTGGGTAAATACAAAAAAATAATAATAAAATATAATACTTCCTCTTAGAGCAGTAGTTCTCAAATAGTAGTTCCTGCACCAGCAACATCATCAGCTCCTGGGAAATTCACAAAAGCAATTCTCAAGCTCCTCTCCAGCCCACCGAATAAGGAACTCAGAGGGCAGAACCCAGATAGCTATGTCTAACTAGCCTTCTGATGGTACTTGCTGACGAGGGTTACCTGATAAGAGAACTGCGGGGGGTGGGGTGGGGAGTGGTAGTAAGAGCCACACAGATGGAATGGCCAGGGGAGCCTGTGGTATCAAGCATCGCATTACTGAATGCAGGAAGACAGGAAGGAAGTCCAGACAACTCTATTTCTGTAATACAAAGGACAGTTCCTTCTCAAAACCCCCTTGGGGCCAGATGGATTTTAAACTCCAGATTTTGTTTTAAATCAGAAACATAAAATGTATATATATCATATACTATACCCACAGTGAGGTCTAGAGTAGCACTTAATCAAATACACTAATTTTCTGCAATAAAAATTCGTAATAGGGCCCTTCCTGGTGGCGCAGCGGGTTAAAACACTGCACTAACGCTTAAACCACTTCCGCATGAGTTCGATTCCCGCCTGCCCCGGAGGAGATCCACATGGCGTGGCAGACCTCCTCTGACCAGCCTGCTGCGCCCCTAAGCAGTGTACCTCCTCGATCTGCCTTTTCTGCAATCCAATCTGTCCCTGGCGAATCCTCTCACCCTCCACATCTCTGGCCTGTATGAATAAATAGGCTGGTTCTGTATGAATAAATAAATAAATCTTTAAAAAAAATACATAATCTGAGTGTTGTTTAGGTTCTCTAGTGCCATGCAATTAAATGCTTCCCAAACATTTAGTAGTTTAACAACTACAAATCTGTGGAGCAGGAATTTGAGTTAGTTGTTAGTGGCAGGTTCTTTTGCTCCATGTGGTTGAAATCATTTATTCAGCTTATTGTAGGTGGTTTCTGGGCAGACCTAGGGCATCACTTCACTCATAATCTGGCGGCTCTGCCAAGCCTCTTTCTTTCAATGAAGCTGAGGCTTCTTCACAGCATGGTGGGCTCCATCGTACTTCTCCATAACAACTGTCATCCATGATGGAACATGCTAGAAGGTACAACAGCAGAAGCTGCAGGTCTCTTAAGGCTTAGCCTTAAATACTACACAGAGGTATTTCAATATAAAAACATTAGTTAGACAATGCCCAGAGATGAGGGTAGCCTCGGTTCATAGCCTGGAAGAACAGAAAAGAACTGTGGCCATCTTATAATCCATGAAGCAGGATAAATACAGATGATAAGTAGTAGCATGTCTATTTAAGTCGGGTTTTCTATCAGATAAGATTTTGGCAAACTTGAAAAAAACCTCTTGGTTTCCAGCTTTTTCAACTTCAGAATTGTGAAAGCAAAACAAAACACTGCCAACAAATTGACTGCCCCCTTCCAACTGCTGCCTGAGCTCAGGGGCACATTTTCTGCTGCAGCCCTCCTGAACAGTGTCCTTGTCTAGCGCACCTACCATCTTCTTTCCAGAGCTGCTCCTGAAACCCAGGCTCAGATCTGGGCTAATATCTCACTGTGGTACAATGTAAAAGTCCCTACAGTGTCCCTAAATACTCTGGAATGCTTCCTATCCCATCCTCAAATGCATTTTCATGTGTCCCTGGAGGTATGACCACTTTATATCCTTAGTTTGTCTCAGCTTAGAAATCCTACCTTTACCCACAGCTCAAAATCTGTGTTCTTCAAAACGCCTTTCAAATGCCACCTTTTCTGTGATTTCCTGTGGATTTCCACAAAACTTGTTCTTTGCTTTAGAATGAATACATTTTATGCACTTCTCTTTACTGCACTTCTTGAGACTAAGAATTACCCTTCTCTGTCTCTCCCTGCTGCAGGAGGTATTGCATGAATGCTGAGACCCATACTTTATTCTTAAATGCAGAAAAATATCAAAAGAACACCTTGCCCTCCCATAAAAGATTTCATATAAAATAGAGTTTTGAGCTGAGACTTTGGAGAGGAAATAATTGTAAAAATGGAAGAGAAGATGGGTAGGTGGGATATCACCCCCACTTACAGGACTGCCCAAGTGATACTCCAAGAGGTATGATAAACAGGCAAAGTACAGATAGACACAGAGGGGTCTCAGGAGTTATGATAATAGGATGTGGAAGATGGACTGAGTTTAGGGTGAGGGTTTATATGGACTGTGAAATTTGCTTTCCACAGGACCTTGTTGCCAATAAGCAAAAGTTTTAATAGTGCTGTCAATGGAGCCTAGGCCATTCAGTAGGGGACTGGGGCTCATCAATAATTTAAAGAAACAAGTATACATCTTGTGACTTGCACTTGAGAAAGAGAGGACTCAGGGGTGTTTTCATTTATATTAAGCAGTACTTTATATAGATTCAACTACTATGACTACTACATATTTCTCTTCATTATTCCACTTTAAAATTAATCATGTGATAGGAAAAATACAATGGATGTTAGAATGAGTAAAGTGAGAAAAATATAAGAAAAAGGATACATATGTTATTTCAAAGCATCTCCCCACGAAGACATTATTTTCCCTTTGTAATTGATAAGTAACGCTGTGATAGAGAAACCTGTGAGGTACTTTTGCAACTAACAGCAAAATTAGTATGACCAAACACCATGTACCTCTGGATATGATGCATAACCTGAATTTAATCATGAGGAAATAATAAACATTTTATTGTGTTAAGGACAGGAAAGAAAGAACCTGAAGAACTGTCATCACTGAAAGAGACAGGTGATCTGGCAGTTAAATGCAGTGTAAAATACTAGATTGGATCCTGGGTTAGACAAAGAACATCAGTGAGATACTTGTTGAGATCTAAACACATTTTACATATGAGATAACATAGTATAGATGGTAGTCCTATGGTTCCTTGTGTTATTGTTATTAGAATGTTAATATTTGGGGAATTGAGCAAAAATTAAAGGGAAATTTTTTCACAACTCTGTTAGTCAAATTATTTTGAAAAGAAAAGTTATGGATTTGCTGACTTGTGTCGGATTAAAAATAGAGTTCTCTAATCCCAAATACAGTTCACATTCTCCCAGCACATTTGATTTTGTGGTTTAGCCACTCCAGAAATCTGCCTTTTCTCCTCCTGATATCAACATTGTCTCCTAGGGAAACCGGAGAGCCCGCTGAGAATATTCTTCCCATTCCAGCCCTGAGAGCTACCAGTCTGGTCTGTCTTCAATTGGAAAACAGGTAGAAATGGGGCCCAAATCCACTCACCAATGACCCTCATGTTCTGGGGTTTCTTTAGATTCCAATAAGCTTCTCTTCAGTTTGGCTAGAACTCATCAGTCCTTTGAGGTTAGGCAGATAAAGGGAAGACAAGTTAGTGAATTGGTTCAGATTTGATT